GACTTCAAGTCTAAGTAAAGCTGAAAGAGACTAATTTAAATTTAAACACTTCAGTCTTAACCACTAGTCCTGTATCAGTGTTTACTCAGGAAGCAGAAGCCTTATGAATGATGAGTATCAGATTGCTATGGGCATAAGCCCTTACATAACTGTAGGGACTTCTGAAGCAGTCTGTGGTGTTGGGCCTGAAGTCAGCAGGAACGACAGTCAGGAAGGAAAGATGGTCATGAAATGGGGGAGAATAAAAAAAATGATTGGAATTGGTGAGGATAAGCTGGAACCCATGAGGACAAACTAGAACCGATGAGAACAAATTGGGACTTGCATTTGTCTCTCACTGTATCTAATTTCAGTGATACATGTGACCTGTAGGATAAGGTGGTGCTTTTGGCCCCACTGTTGAACATGCACTAAGTTGAGGATTCAGGGGAGCTGGAGGAGGAGATCTGGTGGGCACTGGAGAGCGGCAGGCCAGGCTGCTGGCCCATGCCTATGTGGTGAGGCAGCAGATCAGCGTCTGACCATACAATGATCTTCAGAGCATAAGAACATCTTCTGCTTTACTTCTGCCTTTTAAATCTCACACAAATTTCTCTTTTTACTAACCTTAACCTAGAGCCATACAGGGAATGGAATTTTGGGAAACCCAGTTCCATCTTAGCTAAGTTAATGTGGTAGAAAGCCACCTCAAGTCCACTTCTGCATAAGCCCTTGAGTAAGCAAGGGATTGGAGATACGCATCTGGTATATTTTTAGTCTGTCTCGGTTCCCGAGTACCTACCATAGTGTAAGCATCTCACAGTGCTGAGTGTAATTCTACTATTTGGCTGAATTTTTCAGACAAGACTGCTTTCCTAACCATAAGCCAATTGCTTCAGTACATGCTCACAGGAAAGTGATCTGATCCAAAGCTGGAGAGAAAAACTCTTGGGTCTATGAACCAAGAGATGCTATCTGGGTTCTAATATGGTACCCTCTTGAGAAAGCATTTCTAGAGTAAGTTTGCTCATTTATTGAATTTTCAATTTACACGTTGACTTCAGAACCCAATCCTGATTTTAGAACTTTCTTCAATAAGTATTTGTTAAATGACAGATGAATGGTGTAGGGATTTTCTTCTGCTGTGTTCCTCTTACCAGCTAGCAAAGTGCTTGACACATAGTAGATACTTAATAGATTGGGGTTCGATTATTTATTGAAAATTTTTATTCTGTGCTGTGTAATATTAAAACAAAAATATTACAAATGTTTTCATTTTTTACTAGGTCTCCAAGTTGCCTTTAATACAAACCACTGAATACTATGTATGCTTTGGGGTCTGGGTAAAAATGACTGCCCATTTAATGTGGGTCTTGTAAGGCGAGTTGAAGCTTGTAGAAAAGTACATGTATATTAAAGTACTTTGGAAAACTTTGCCTCTCTTTGTTTCCTTCAGTGTTTTCACACATTCCTGCACTCTGCTTTTACCTCTCTCTGTCTTCTGTTTCTCTTTCTTTGGCAAATTACCTTTAAAATGTTAGCACTAGGATAATCCATGCTCTTGGTAAACAGTAAATAAAGAAGAAAAGTTAACCTAAAAGTCCTCTGAACTCTTCCCTCTCCACATACAATTCCATACTATCCAAAAATAACCACTGTTAATATTTTAATATATCTCTCCTCAAATATTCTATGAATTTATTAACATATATGGATATATATCCTTATATGTATATGTATACTTGAAACAATAGTATCATATTATTAATATTATTCTGCAACAAGTTTTCACTTAATGTATCTTGAAACTTTTAAAATGCCTGCACATAAATGTACAGCTTTCTTTTAAGCAATCCCTTCAAAATGTATTCCAAAGCATAATTTACCATTTAACTAATTCCCCATGATGGTTATCTTAGGTTAATTCTAATAATTAGCATTACAAACAATGTTGCATATGTATATATGTCTTTGTCTGTATCATGCAGGTGTATCCAAAGAGCAAATTCTAAGCAGTAGAATTGCAACGTTTGCCTGAGCTTTGGTATCAACTAAAGGGTATGTATTTTCGGGAGACATGTTTGTAACTCATTCAAAGTTGCTAGTAAGCACTGGGTCACATGCGTCTCCACAGTCTCTTTTGTCAAGAGACCTTTGGTAAAAGGAAAAGATGTTCAAAGAATGGTCTTTGCCTTCATCACTTGTAGATCCTCCTTTGGTCATCTGTAATTCACTAATAATCAACAGTCATTCATAACCATTTTTTTGAAACTGAAGACAGTTTTTCTGGAGACTAGAAGTATCATCACCATGTTTAAATCAATCTAATCTATTACTCTAAGAAACTAATATTTTTTTTCATTTTCGTTAAGATTGAATAATAATGCTGATATGACCACTAAAAATTAGCCTGCTCAGCAAGTGTCAAGACAACTGGCACAAAAGAGTTTGCCCATTGTTTGCTGCTGATCCATTCAACAATCTTCCCTGCTTATTTCCCCAAAGAATCTAAGACAACCTATTCTGCGAAAGACAAGTGCTTGAAGACTAAACACCATCACAGACTAAGGATAGAAGGCAGGTGGTAAAAGAGAGAGTGGGAGAAAATTATTTTTTCAAGAAACTAGTTTATGAAAGTCCTAAAAAACCTAGTTCTGAACTTCTTAGTAGAAGATAGAGAGAGAAAACCTGAGTTATGGAGCCTGTCATTTTTTATTTATTTTATTTTATTTTTAAAAAGATTTTATTTATTTATCACAGAGAGAGAGATCACAAGTAGGCAGAACAGCAGGCAGAGAGAGAGGGGGAAGCAGGCTCCCTGCTGAGCAGAGAGCACAATGTGGGGCTCGATCCCAGGACCCTGAGATCATGACCTGAGCAGAAGGCAGAGGCTTAACCCACTGAGCCACCCAGGCGCCTTGAGCTTATCATTTTTTAGCACAGATTTTCTCAGTCCTATTAGACACAGTGATTCTTTTCTGCAACAAATATTTTGCCTGAATGCCTTGCTACTATCCTGAAGTGAGGTTTGTAGATAATACAGCTTATTTACCTATACCATTTAAAAGTGAATATAAAGGAAGCATCTGGATGGCTCTGTAGGTTAAACATCTGACTCTTGATCTCAGCTCAGGTCTCAACGTCAGGATCATGTGTTCAAGCCCCACCTTGGGCTCCATGTTGGGAGTGGAGCCTACTTAAAAAGAAATGACTATGAAGTCCAAATTCTAGTATAATGTAAGTAATGTATAGTAAAATAACATATATTTTAATATACACGTGTCTAGGCATGACTATGCTGGAAGGCCAGTGAAGTTGCCACATGCTTTTACCAACAGAAAGGATCACCGTGAATACCACAACAGCAAATGCAGTCTGGCTCTGCTGTGTTGGCTACTCAGATGCCACAAGCCTCATCGATCATAATGATTATAGTTTTCCTAAATAGGAAGAATTCTTCTAAATTCCTGAAAAAGAAAAGGCATAATCTTAAATCCTGAAAAAAAAGGGCATAATTCCCCCAGCTTCCTTGGATTTTGGATTTCTAGGAAATTAAGTGATATTGAAAAACTTCTTGGTATTTGCACTTAAAGTGGTTTTTTCCCCCTAGGTTCATAAGCAGTCCCCTTTTTTCTTACATGGGGATGTCTGATGAGATATTTCAACATAGTGCAGAATGCGGGACAGTCTTCACTGTATAGGATTGTCCTGTACATTGCAGGCCATCAGGCCTCCCTAGTTTCTGTTCACACTAAGTGCCAGAAGTTTCTCCCTCCCACCACCATTGCAACAGTCACTTTGGAAATCTTCTTGGCATGTATCAAAATCTGCACTTCCCATGACCCAGTAGTCTACTCCTAATTGTCTACACATCAGAAATGAGTATGTATGTGCATCACAGTTTTGTTCAAAAATATTTGTAGCACAGAGAAATGTACCTCCGAAACAAATAATACATTATATGTTAATTAAAAAAATATTTACAGCAACATTGTTCCTATTAGCCCCAAATGGAAGTAACTCAGATGTTTCCTCAGCAGTGGAATGGATAACTTGTGCCATATGCACACACAGGAATAATATGCAACAGTGAAGATGAACAAATTGCTCCTCCAGAAGCCGTGGGGAATCTCACAAACGTAATGTTGAATGACAGAGCCGCACACAAAATAATACATACTATGTGATTCCAAAAGTTCAAACACAGGCAAATAAATTTATAGTATTTGTGGAATAATGCCTGGAGGGGAAATGAGGTATTTCTGGGGTGATAGAGCTTCCTTCCTCTCCCTCCCTTCCTTTTTCCACTTATCATTTATTTGTATCATAAGAAGTTAGTATTCTGCGGAACACTCTGGGAAAATAATTTTGTGTGACTTCTGTTTTATTAACTCTCAGTTTTCATAGAGAACCTCAGAGAGGTAGGGTAGCTTGCCCAATTTTGAGTAGTGAGTGATGGATGCAAGAGTTGTTTCTTGACCTGGATGGGGCTTATGTGTGTGTTCACTTTGGGATAATTCATTATCGGCAGCGGTAAGAGTATTAAAACAAGTCTGTAGCATGACATTCGTGCAGTGTAAAGGAAATTAAAAAAAAGAAACGTCAGTTTCTCTCCCCAGTCCTCTGGCTGTCTATCTCCTCTGGAGAGAGCCCAGGGCAAACCAAACGTGAGAAAAAAAAAAAAGTCCAGTTCAAAATGCAGTCCTCGCACAGATCTGGAGACTCAAATGTCCACCACTAGGGTTAAAAGGTATTCCCAAACTGGTCCAAGGTGGTTACAAAAGCGAGGAAATCTCGTCGCTGTCCAGGGTAAGAAGGGAAAGAAAAAACGTGAAATTACTCCCCAACCTCGTTGTTGGAGGCTCCGGAATCACCAGGGCAACTGGGAGCGACCCATCTTAGGAGGCGGGGCCAAGGCCATTCTTTGACACCCTAGCAACGCAGCAAGCCTTTGTCGCGTCCTAGCAACACATCTGGCCCTCCGTGTGTCCTTCGTCCTCCTTGCCAGGCTCTAGGCTCCCGCTTACCCTCTCATGGTACCTCTCAGTGGCCCGGAGGGAAGGCTTGGATTTGCATACTGGTGCGGGACAGCTCTTGGGTTCCTGTGGTGGGAGTCACTCAGGGAAAGTCAGCACATGGAGGGAGAGACAGTGAGAAACAGCGTTTAAGAAAGAAAAAAAAAAATCAAGATTTGGTAATTTTTATTTTTAAGGCACATCCAAAGCTCTGAGGAGAGGAGATTGGAGGGTGGGAAAATCAATTTTGTACAAACTCCATATAAAGAAAGAAGAAGAGACCCATTGAGGGCTGAGAACCGAGCCAACTGGAGACAGACCTGCAATGTTGGACACCATCGTCCCTTCCGTGCAAGACCTGGGCAGGCAGGTGCTGCCTACGCTGCTGTCGCTGAGCCAAGAGGGTAAGCGATGTGGGGTGAGGGCCCAGGGGGCTGGATCTTAACCCGATTAGGGAAAGGCAGAAAATCTCCTTCCTTATCCTCCGGAGTGACCAGGTTGTCTTGGCAGCCAGCTGGCAATCACAGCAGGCTTACACTGGATGCCCAGAGACAGTTTCTTTATTGACTGCCTTAATGAGGGAAAGGGGCCAGGTGAGGATTTTGATTAAAAGAGATAATGTCTTAACTTGGGGACTAGCACAAAGTAAGTGCTCAATAAATGTTAGCTAAAAACAACCACCCCAAATGGCTCCTTCCCAGACTACATGAAAGAAAAGGCTACTTTTGTTGCCCTTGATGTTTTGGGGTTAAGTGAGAGGACCATAAAATGAACAGGGTGGTTGGAAGAAGACCTGGCAACGTCTTACTGAAAGCTTACTAGGCTTGATCAAAAACATACTTTCTTGGAAGAATCCCCCTAAAGTGACACTGAGATGTCTGGAAGCAATAGGAGCCCTTGGTTTTCCGGAAATGGACACTATTGTTACTATCAAGTCATTGTAACTTAGGGACGTTGCCTATGCTTTAACCAAATGACTTAAGAAGACAAAAATAAATAGGAGTAGATGCCTCTTTTCTTTCCCCTGCATCACTCCTATTTTTTCCCATTATAATAATTCTAAAAGAAGCATTGAATATAATGGTTTTATGGATTAAAAATATTTGCCATATTTATAAATTTATATAGAATTTGTTTATATGAGTAATTTTGAGAACCTACTATGTGTTAGGTACTAGAGAACTGATGGTGAGCAAAAACCTTGGAATTTATAGTCTATTGAGGGAAGAGATACACATTAACCAAATAATCACAGAAATAAATACTACTTTACAATTAGTAAGTGCCATGGGTGCGGGTGCATGGTACACTGGGAACTTTTACTCAGGGCGAGGATGGGGATATGTGTCAAGATTTGCTGAAGAAGAGAAGATTCGAGCTGAGATGTGAAGAAGGAGTTGCCGTGAAATAGATGAAACGAATCAGGGGAGTGAGGAGTGGAGGGAAGCGGCAGTGTGCCTGGCAGGGGGAATAACAAGAGCGTGTTGACAAGAGGGAGCCTGGTGTGACTGCAGGACTGAAGGGAAGTCAAGATGGCTTCTCTGTCAGTGTGGGAGGTGAGTGTGTTCTAAAGGAGGCTGGAGAGAAATGGAGGGATCAGGCAATGCATGTAAATCATATTAAGGATAGTGGTCCCTATTCTAAGCCTGATTAAAGGCCCCTAAGAGTTTTGCGTGAAGCTAAAGGAGGGGTTGAATGACATGATCAAGTTTGTGGGTTGTTTTGTTTTGTTTTGCTTTAAAGATTTTATTTATTTGACAGAGATCACAAGTAGGCAGAGAGTCAGGCAGAGAGAGAGGGTGGGGGAAGCAGGCTCCCTGCTGAGCAGAGAGCCCGATGTGGGGCTCCATCCCAGTACTCTGGGATCAAGACCTGAGCCAAAGGCAGAGGCTTAACCCACTTAGCCACCCAGGCACCACAATCAAGTTTGTATTTTAAAAAAGATTGCTCTGGTTTCCAAGTGAATGAATTGGGGGGTTAAGAACACCTAGAACAGTAACTTAAGTGAGAATGAATGGTAGCTTGGTCTAAATTGGTAGCAGTAGAAGTGGAGAGAAGTAGACAAACTGTAAGGCTATTTAGAGACAAAATTTACAGATTGTGGTAGTGGACTGGGAAGGAGGATGAGAGAGAAAGGAAGTCTCAAGGATGAGTTCTGAGTTCTTGGCTTATATAATTGAGTAGATGGTGATGACAGTCATTGCGATTGAAACCTTGGATATAGGGCAAGATTTAAGGGAAGAAAGATGCTGGGTTTTTGTTTGTTATGTTTTTTTTTTTTAATGTTTTTATTTGAGAGAGAGAGAGAGAGAATCAAAGAGAGACAGATAGCATGAGAGGGTAGAGGGTCAGAGGGAGAAGCAGACTCCTATGCGGGACCCGATCCTGGGACTCCAGGATCATGACCCAAGCTGAAGGCTGTCACTCAACCAACTGAGCCACCCAGGCACCAAGAAGATGCTGGTTTTGAGCACGTGAAGTGTCTCAGTGAGATATCCAAAGAGGCAGTGGGATACATGGGTCTAGAACCTAAAGATGGGGAGAGTTTCTGGGCTTCTAAAAAAACACTTGGGACTCATCAGAATTTTGGTGGTGATTAAAGCCCTGAGCATGGATGTGACTGCTTAAGAGGAGTCTTGAGTGAAGAATGAAGGTCGAGGGCTATACCTTTGAAAATTTCAACACTTTATTTATTTATTTATTTATTTATTTATTTATTTATTTATAAGATTTTATTTATCCATTTGAGAGAGAGAGACAGCATGAGCAGGGTGGGAGGGGAGGGGAGGGGCATAGGGAGAGGGAGAAGCAGACTTCTTGCTTAACAGGGGCCCCCATGCGGGACTTGATCCCAGGACCCTGGGGTATGACTTGAGCTGAAGGCAGATGCTTAACCAACTGAGCCACCCAGGTGCCCCAAAATTCCAGCATTTAATGGCTAAGTTGAGGAGGATGAGTTTTCGAAGGAGAATGAGAGAAAATGGTTGTACCGGTAGGAAGAAAACACAGGAGACAATAGTTGTCACAAAAGCTAACAGGAGAGGTGTTTAAAGGAGGAGAGTGGTCATCAGCGTTAGATATGACTGAGGGGTCAGAGAGGTGAAAATTAAACGTATTTATTTAATCTGTTGACAAGGAGACCATTGGTGACCTCAGCAGGAACTTTATTGGTTGAAGGACAGAAATAGAAGTCAAATAACTACTTATTAACATTCACAAATGACCCAGTGTGAAGGAGATAAGGATAAAATTCCAATTTCAGGAAACAAAAAAAATAATTTTTTCATATTAAGTCCTGTTGTTTCCATATGTTTCACTGAAGTTTAGTATTACGTAGTTATGGTACTTCGAAGGTCCTGTCATCGTTTTATGGATATGAACTGAATCAAACTTGTGAAGACTACATAGCCAGCAATCTTCGGAAGCAGGAAGGCTGTAGGTCTTCAGTGTGACACACTGATCTTTTCACTGCACTTTGCTCTGGGAATATGTTTCTTTGTTTAGATCACTCTTGAATATTTTGCTTTGTTTGTGTGTCAGTATTTTAATTTTAGAAGATGTCTTATGAAGTCAGGGAGCTTATCTTTTATATTTGGTATTAATATCTATTTCTAGCATATATTATTCTATAATTTACATAATGGACACAGTTCTTTTTTAAAATGATCATATATAAAACAGAGAATTCCTGCTACTTGGCTCTGTGTTTACAAATATGGTTTTGAATGCATAGAGTGTTTAGAATTTGAAGTCAAATGATGGTTGAACTGAGTACAGAAGGTACGTCCAGGGATTATTTCTTTATAATAGTGATTCATGGGATTTCAGTATTTGATTAAAATAAATAATTACCCCACCTTTCTCTAAAATATAAAAGTAGCATATTCTTTAACTTGCTTCATAGACTGGATTACAATTCTTTTTGTTTTGAGATTAAGTGATGCCCTCTCTGATTTTGGGATGCCAGAAAAATCAAAGATAAAAATCATAGTTTGTAAGATATTCGAATCTACCTATTCCAGCCAAAGGGCAGGACCCAAAAGCTTCCTAAAGGGAATGATGTGCAAGCTTTCTCTTTTCTTCAGTAACAAATAGCAAATTTCAGGGGCGCCTGGGTAGCTCAGTGGCTCAGTGGGTTAAGTCTCTGCCTTTGGCTCAGGTCATGATCCCAGGGTTCTGGGATCGAGCCCCGCATCGGGTTCTCTGCTCAGTGGCGAGCCTGCTTCCTCCTCTCTCTCTGCCTGCCTCTCTGCCTACTTGTCATCTCTGTCAAATAAATAAATAAAATTTAAAAAAATAGCAAATTTCAGTTTCAAATAATAAACTCTGCTCTTGCATAACTTTGCCCATTAGATTGTATGGAGTAAAATGACGTGACTTGTGAATATATCATCCAAATGAAGAAAGGTGATCCTCAAATTTCCAGTTAAGCTCAGTCAAGTCTTTTCATTAGTTTGGTTGCAAGCTATATAGTTTCTCCAGGCTCTAATTAAATCATTTCCTTTTGGTATAGATTGTTTTCCTGAAATTTGAGCTGCATATCATGAGTCTAGGTGAAAGACTTAATAGTTTTGACTTAAAAACTTTGAAAGGTCTCCCTGTAAATCTGCGTATTATGAAGATTCTTTATTGTTAGTAAATTAATGACGTTTTTGGTCATGATGAAAATTTTAATTCAGCATACAATTGAGATCAGTTGAAAGACCTTCTTAGTTCTTAGCTGCCAGAAGTAGAATTCTTTTGTCTATGGTGGTGGGCAAGAGTGAGGAACACAGTAGGATGGAGCAGAGTAGAAGGAAAACTTGGTTATAATCTTGTCCCTTGGCTCGCTGTAGCATGCAACCCTAGTTTTCTTGGTGGGTGAGTGAATTTCCATCACCCAGCTTGTTTCCCGATGCCGATGAGAATCACTACTACTTCTCATTGCCTAACCTATTCCTCCTCTGGCATATTAATTAAAATACTTATAACCCTGATATATTGGAATTTAAAGTTTGCAATTTCCCTGCTTTAGCTAGTGGCTTAAACCATTAGAAATAAAAGTTGTATGTTATGCTAAGCAAAATATGTCCAATCAGAGAAAACCAATTATCATATGATCTCACTGATATGTGGAATTTAAGAAACAAAGCAGAGGATCGTAGGGGAAGAGAGGAAAAATGAAACAAGATGAAACCAGAGAGGGAGATAAACCATGAGAGACTCTTAATCATAGGAAATGAACTGAGGGTTGCTGGAGCGGGGGCAGGTGGAGGGAGAGGCTAACTGGGGGATGGACCTTAAGGACATGTGATGGAATGAGCACTGGGTATTGCACAAGACTGATGAATCACAGACCAGTACACCTGAGATAAATAATCCATTATGTTAATTAATTGAATTTAAAATTTTAAAAAGGAAAAAAAGTAATAAAAGTATAGCAATAAATCAAGCAGTTTCCAAAGTGGAAAGAGAATTGGTCTTTTATCACCAACTGTGTCCATATCCAAAAGAGGCAACCTGGTAAATGTTACTGTTCTTGATCTTTTATTTTGAGAATTAAACATAACACTTGATTTGCAAAGAGTTCCTCAGTGAAAAGTATCTTTTTTAAAAAAGATTTTGTTTATTTACTTGAGAGAGCATGCATGAACAAGCTGGGGGAGGGGCAGAAGGAGAGAGAATCTGAGCACAGAACCCAACAAGGGGCTGGATCCCACAACCATGAGATCTTGACTGGAGCTGAAATGGAGAGTCAGATGCCCCTGGAAAGTATCTTTAATACACATCATTGGGTCTGGAATGGAGATGTCAACACAGACTTAATTTTCTGTATTTCTTTTTCTTTTCCAGCTTTAAATTTTTTTTAATTTGCATATTTAAAAATTGTGCATTCCCATGATTAAAATTGTTGAACAAAAAAATGGCACTCTGATTAAACTGCATTTTACAGCCTGCAGGACACCTTGGACCAGCTGCATTTTTACTCTAGATTTCACTGTCTTCCCACCCAGCTTCTTCCTTCACCAACATGCAAGTTCTTTTCCTTGCCTGCCAGCCAGACAGGCAGATGGGAGAGGCAAGCACAGCTTTCACTGTCAGTAGTTCTTGATTCCTTGATGTGAAAAGGGGAAGCACAGCCATTTAAACTTGATCCAATGTGTTTGCCTCTGACAAGGTGAAACAGCTGAAAAGAAGTAAGAAAGCAATGCTTGTGGAATGTGCCGTGTATATCGGCTGCACACGCCTCATTAAGATTCCCTGCTTGCTTCTCCTGTTCAGTCGTTTCTCTTGAAGGCAGTGGATTTTTCTTCTACGTTTCTGCCTTCTTCAATTTCAACTTACTGAATTTCTCTAAGTCCTCTCGGGGCTGTCAGACTTTGGTTGCAGAGGAAGCAGAGTGAGGTACACAAGTCAGCGAAGTCCATCCTGTACCGTGGCTGCCGCCAAGTCTCTGTATTTCTAAATATTGGTTATACCTAGAGTATATCCTCATATCCCATATTTAACACTAGTTACTGGCAACTACTTATTTTTCTGCCACATTTTTTTGGGGAACATATCTCAGAACAAGAAAAACAAAGAAGACCTCTCTCTGATCATTCAAAGCAGATAGGGAGAAGTCTATGCACTGATCCAAGACCTTGGGTCCCTACCCTAAGTTCTGTTGTTAAAAATTATTGTTTTAGAGATAATATTAGTATATTTGTTACAGTAAATTAGGTACATTTGAAGCAGTAAATTAGGATTAGGCAGGAGGTCTGCAGAGCCCTTGCAGCAGAGCGGTGACAGCTTGTCATCTTAAGAGTAACAAATGAGAATGAAAAGCAAGTCAAAAATTAAGCAAAAACATGGTGATGATTTTGCAATATAGACAAATGTCAAATAATATTGTACACTTGAAACTAGTATAATATTATGTGTCAATTGAATCTCAATTAAAAAAGAATGTATATTTTTATAGGTTTAGTAATGATGTTTTAGGAGCATAAGACATTTAAAGATTTTATTTTATTTATTTGACAGAGGGAGAGATCACAAGTAGGCAGAGAGGCAGGCAGAGAGAAAGGGGGAAGCAGGCTCCCTGATGAGCAGAGAGCCCGGTGTGGGGCTCCAACCCAGGACCCTGAGACCATGACCTGAGCTGAAGGCAGAGGATTAACCCACTGAGCCACCCAGGAGCCCCTGGGCACAAGACATTTAAAAAATATGGAAGGCTACTGCATGCTACTCACTGTTGATGGTACACAAAGAGTGCACCAAAGAACTTAGGTCCCTGCTGCCATGGAATTTATCGTCTAGGCAGGGTTGTGCAGAAAGATCACACACACACACACACACACTTCATTTGGGAGTCCTCCCCCCACCGAAAGAATTAAGCAAAACAGAAGTAGAGGGACGCTTAATATATAGACAACAGCCTTTCATGCCTCAGTGGTGCTTGGCTTTATTCTTGTATTATAGGATGGCATACGAATGAAGGTTTATCAGATGGCACAGAGTATACACTCCATAAATGCTTTTTGAATGTCATCAAAACAAGGAGAGGGTGAAATAGGTGATGGGGATAAAGGGGTGAACTTGTGATGAGCACCCGGTGTTGTAGGGAAGTGTTGAATCACTAAATTGTACACCAGAAACTAACATTACGCTATATGTTAACTAACTGGAATTTAAATAAAAACTTTATTATTTTTAAAAATATATATATTTATTTATTTATTTGACAGAGAGAGAGAGAGAGAGAGAGAGAGATCACCAGTAGGCAGAGAGAGGGGGGAAGCAGGATCCCCGCCGAGCAGAGAGCCTGATGCAGGGCTCTATCCCAGGACCCTGAAATCATGACCTGAGCCAAAGGCAGAGGCTTAACCCATTGGACCACCCAGGAACCCCTAAATAAAAACTTAAAAAAATTCTAGATTATACTTGGCTAGCTCTATTTATAGGATAAAAGGAACTCTGTCACACTTTTATAGAATTTATAGAATTTCCTTTATAGAATTAAAAACAAGTGTGTGATAGAGTTCCCTTTATCCTAGAAAGATTTTACTCAAAAGTTTATTGTATTATTATTATTATTAAGCACATTTTTGGAACTTAAAAGGGGGAGCTTTAGCTATTAGGAAAATTAACTTTGAGGAATGAACTTACTTTCTTCTAATTCTAAATTTATTGGGAATTACTATTATTTGATTCTGCATTTCATATTTACTTTTTTATACTAGCACCAGGTACTATCACATGAATGCTTAAATAAATTATTTTTTATTTCCTTTGAATATCAGAAGTCTCTGCTATCTGGGCAAATGTGTCGGAATTTGTGGAACGGCAGCTATCCCTGCACAAGGTAAGATTTATACTTTAAGTTTAATGCAAGAGTCCAAAGGATCTTTCCTCCTTAGTCTTGTATAATTTTGCTGTGAGCAAGATAGCAGACTTTATGGCCATCCTAATTTAACTTTCAGTCTTGTGATTTTATCATGCTCCCACTTTTGACTTATGGATAGTAGATTTAACAAACATGGATTTTATTCTTAGGTAATGAATTTGTAAAAGTTTTACTCTTCTAGTGATACCAAGCACTGACTAGCCTGGCTATGTGTAGAGGAACTAGATGAATTCTATTTATCTGTGACCAGATAGTTCCTGGCATAGCTATAGAAAGATATATTGCTTCCGTCTTGCCTTCTTGCAGGGAATGGCTTTTTATTGAAATACAAGGAGACAATGAGGGACTGAACTCAACTTTCCCAAAATGAGAAATCTTGGCTTGCCTTGAGTTTGGATGCCATAGAACTGGTCAGAACTTTGAGAAGTTTGGAGGGGAGTTGGGAAGTTGTGGAACATTTATATGCTACTCAGAGGTCTCAATATGGCAGTCCTTGGGCCGAATTCATCCTTCAAACTTTTGTTTGTTCTGATAATTTGAATTAGTCATCACCTAAAATTTGGAGAGTTTATATAAAGTTTTGCATCTGTTTCTCTCTTTTCTTGAAAAATCAGCAGATTTAACAATACCAGTTTTTCCATGCCTGCATGCTGACATTTGACTGGAGCCAAAAATGGGCTCTAGCCTTTGGATGGGATTTGTACTTTCTAGCCACTGCAGTTTCTGGTTGGCTACCTTCACTCCCCTGCATTCTTTCATGGTGTATGTAGGCATTTGTAACCCTTGAGGTATGATATTTTCAGGGAGACAGAGACCCAGTTTGAGAGTCAAAAGCATTTGCTTCTACCTAGCAGCCAAGATCATTCCACTGCAGCATACGCCTTGGATGCTGGATTGTCTGATTTTTTTTTTTAATTTTATTTTTTATAAACATATATTTTTTTCCCCACAGGGGTACAGGTCTGTGAATCTCCAGGTTTACACACTTCACAGCACTCACCATGGCACATACCCTACCCAATGTCCATAACCCCACCCCCCCTCTCCCAACCCCCCTCCCCCCAGCAACCCTCAGTTTGTTTTGTGAGATTAAGAGTCACTTATGGTTTGTCTCCCTCCCAATCCCAACTTGTTTCATTTACTCTTCTACTACCCCATTAACCCCTCATGTTGCATCTCCTCTCCCTCATATCAGGGAGATCATATGATAGTTGTCTTTCTCTGACTGACTTATTTCGCTAAGCATGATACCCTCTAGTTCCATCCACGTCGTCGCAAATGGCAAGAGGATTGTCTGATTTTAAATGAGAGACAAAACCTAAAAGATGGAATGAGAAAGCAGAGATTCTTATGGCCTCTTAAATTACCTCTTTCTAATGGCAAATGATTAAAATTTGGAATTTCACACAATTTAGGACAAGAGGAATCTTTAAAAAATTTTATTAATTATTTTTATTAATATATAATGTATTATTTGACCCAGGGGGTACAGGTCTGTGAATCCTCAGGCTTACACATTTCACAGCACTCACCATATCATATATCCTCCCCAATGTCCATAACCCAACCACCGTCTCCCTATCCCGTCCCCCAGCAAACCTCAGTTTGTTTTGTGAGATTAAGAGTCTCTTATGGTTTGTCTCCCTCCCAATCCCATCTTGTTTCATTTTTTCTTTCTCTACCCTCAAGCCCCACGCTCTGCCTCTCAAATTCCTCCTATCAGAGAGAGAGAGAGGGTGTGAGTGGGGGTGTGTGAAGGGGATGGAGAGGCAGATGGAGAGGGAGAAGAAGACTCCTTGATGAGCGGGCCCCACGTGGGGCTCCATTGGAGGACCCTGGGGTCATGACCTGGGCCAAAGGCAGACTCTTAGCTGAGCCACCAGGTGCCCTGGACAAGAGGACTCTTAAATATAGATTAAAATTAGCAATGGCATCCATACAAGTTTTCTTAGTCCTCACAGCCTTTGAATGATAATGGAGATGGGAGATCTGATGTTGGAAGGTTTGGAGATCAATGTATTACATTTATATTTATATGAAAACTTAAAGTCATAACGTGCTATAGCTGTAGGAGATTGTAGAGATCATTGATTATTTAATGGTTAATTCTTTAATTCTTTCCATGTTTTTTTTGGATAATGGTACTAAGGGTTATTTTTCTGATTGTTGCCCTTTTTTTTCCCCCCTTCCTTTTTTCTTGCAGGGGGTTCAGATTCCAGGACTTGGAACTTTCACTTTCATGAGACAAAAACTTGAAGTGGGAAACAACAAGTTTATTCTGATTCAGAGACCCATGTTTATCATGGCCGAGAAGTTAGTTCAGATTCATGGACTCAAGCAAAACAAAATATATATTCCTGGTAAACTTGTCAATATTTAAGACTTTCTCAGAAAGTAACTGGCCTGGGGATGAAAATGAAAGGGCAAAGTGTGTTCACTTGCTACCTTACGGGTTTCTGATTTGAGGAGCTCAGTTTTCATGTGGAACCTTTGCGGGTGGGGGACAACACAGGAAATAATAGACAGTCTTCCTGCAGGCCATTTCAAACCTCAGTAGCTTAAGAGGCAGGCCTGGGAAGACTTGAAGTGATGTCAAGGCAAATTTATATAAATGCCACATTACAGAGTTGTGCAGACTTTATTCATTTTTTTAGGCGCTAAGAAGTTAAAAGTAGCTATTGAAAAAGTTAATTAGGGTCTCTGGTTAGAATTATAGTCCATGTTAGCTATAAAAAAAGACCTCTAACTGTTTCTATCATACATAATCTAAATTATTAAAATTTAAAAGTGAGGTTAATAATTCCACAGACGAACACCTTGTATACCTCTCACACCCTAAAATTTTCCTTCCTTCCTCCCTCCCTCCTTCCCCCTGCCTTCCTTTCTTCCCTCTTACCATAGATATTTACTGAGGGCCAACTATGTATCAGACCTTGTTCTAGGGACCTTGAAATACAGTGGTAGGCAAAACAGGCATGCCACCTGACACAGGATGCTTGCTTACGCTCCAGCTTTGGTGTGTGGACTTAGTGATGCCTGCTCTGGCTCCTTAGGGGCCTTTGGGGGCTTCCTTCCTGATTTCTGGGCTGTGTTCCGTTTGATCTTCCTTACTATTGGCTCCTGCATCAGACTGATAGATGGACAAAGAGAAAGAATCTACCCTCGAAGTCAGCAGGTAAAAAGGCTAAAACTTGCCTTTTGTGAACTTCCCTGAAAGTTAATTTTCAGACAAACTTCCCACCTAAAAGGAAAGATTGGAAAAACAAATAACAACAAATTATACTTAGAATTCATTATGCATATAATCTATATGGTAGATTTGATGGACTGTTCAGATATTTCTACCTAGAGTTTTATGGACATATAATATCATAATTCATCAAAAACCTAGCAAAATGATGGGGCGCCTGGGTGGCTCAGTGGGTTAAAGCCTCTGCTTTCAGCTCAGGTCATGATCCCAGGGTCCTGGGATCGAGCCCCGCATCGGGCTCTCTGCTCAGCGGGGAGCCTGCTTCCTCCTCTCTCTGCCTGCTTCTCTGCCTACTTGTGATCTCTGTCTGTCAAATAAATAAATAAAATCTTTAAAAAAAAAAACTTAGCAAAGTGAAAAGATAGCCAACTTTTTTTTTTGACAAAAACATTTGCTCCTTAGAATTAGTTTGCCATCATAGTATACTGCAAAAAAGTAGCTTAAATCTGTAGTTTTTTTTTTTTTACAAGATTGGAGAATTAATTATTTTTTTATAAGTTTGAAGAAATTTCAGAATTAAATATATATGCTTGAATTAATTCACAAGAACAGTTCTGTCTAGAGTTTACCTTTGGGGTTATGATTCTTCATCATTAATTAACTACGTAACTAAACATTATACAGTGAGTCTTAAAGATTGTCAAGACATAATCCTTCCTTTGAAGAGCTCAGAATTTAGCATGGGAAATAAATATGAAAGCAAATGTTGCAACATGATTAAATGCTGTGAAAGCAGCATTAATGAGAACTGGATCAAGTGTCAAGGGAGCTGAGAGGAGAGCATGCCCAACTTTGCTCAGGGAGAGTTAGGAAGATGACATATACGGGGGGTCTTAAAGGATGATAGGACTTTGCTGGCAGAGAAGCTATGGAAAATATTTTGGGAACAGTGTGAATGATTCAAGAATAAGAGAAGGAGTAAAGCCTATGAAAGGAGTAATGGGTACTTCTGTGTGGCCTGGGCATATGATTGTGGAGGCAAGTGGAGGGAGGTAAGACAAAAATGGTTGGTAGTGGTCAAATTTTGAGGGGCCTTTGGCAGTATGGTAAGGACTTCAGAATTCATCCTATAGACAAAGAGGAGCCATTGAACGTTTTTGAGCAGAGACTTGAATGTACTAACCCAGTTTTTAGTTTAGGAAAATAGTTCTTTTAATTACAGTAGTTTTGGGGTATCTGGGTGGTTCAGTTGGTTAAGTGTCTGCCTTCTGTTCAGGTGGTGATCCCAGGCTTCTGGGATTGAGCCCCACATGGGGCTCCCTGCTCAGCAGGGAGTCTGCTTCTCCCTCTTCCTCTACCCCTTCCCCCTGCTCGTGCTTTCTCTCTGTCTCTATCTCAAATAAATAAATAAATAAAATCTTTAATTACAGTAATTTGGTGAAATATGATAGGAGCCTGAATGAAGGCATTGGCAATCGGGAGGAAGACGAAGGAGTCAATTCATGACATATTTTATATGGAGAACTGATGGGATTTGGCTGCCAGTTGAGAGTGGTAGGTAGCAAGAAGCAGGGAGGTATTTAGCATGACTCAGATTTCTTGGAAAATAGATGTATGTTCTTGTCATTAGTGTCACAGGGAATGAAGGGACAGGCAGGTTGGGATGGCCGGAAAAATAGTGAGTTCACTTTTGGATATGTTAAATTTGAAATTCCTGTAGGGATACTTAGGTAGAGAGAATTCCAGAGCTTAGGAGAGGGATGGAATCTACAGGTCAAGATTTGGATTAATTTACCTAGGAGAGGTTTGAAATAAGGGGAAGAGACAGACAAGGACAAAGTCTTGTTTAAAACACACACACACACACACACACCAATAAAACACCATCTTACCAGAAGAAGAAGAAGAAGGAAACAGCAATGGAGACCAAGGAAGAGGAAATTGGAGAACCAAGAATGGTGCCATGGATACAAGAGCAAAGAGAGGGCATGGCCAACAGAAGTTACAGAGAGGTCATGAGAGCAAGATTTACAATCTATCCGTCAGCTTGTCCATCCTGAGTTGATACTGTCCTTACTGAGATAAGTGGACTGGAAGATAGATTGAAGAGAAGCATTGGACGAATAGGAGGGGACAATCTAGAGGCAGGCATTAGAGCCTTTTCTTTTAAGACATTTACAAAAAATAAAATAGAGGGTGGTGGTATAGAAGCACCATTAAGTTGTGCAGAAGACTATGGGCTGATATACGTCTCGTAGTTATATTAATCCTCATCAATCAGCACTGTCAGACAGAAAAGCTGTAAAGTAATGCTTGCCGAATGAATGTTTAGAATGTTCTTATCTTACTCCTATCCTGTTCCTCTGTTAGTGGATCTTGTTTCTTGCCTCTTTTTGGATTTATCATCTTGATCATCTTTGTTATTTACCCCCTTTTCTGACTATTGTTCTAGTGGAACAGACCCTGTGCTTATTTTTATGCTAGATATAACCATATTCCTCTGCAGTATCATTTATGGACTTATTAGGGAGGAAAAGCAAGTTATCCAGTCTGATGCCCTCTGATAAGATGAACTTTCATTTGAAGGTAACTTCTACTGAAGATGACTATCTTTTCAAAACACTTGGCATAAAGTGTATATATAAATATAAATATAAACATTTCAAAATGGTGTGATAACTGGAGGAGATAGGCAAATATTGCTACAGTATGTCCTAAGAGAGAAGGCGGCTGACAACTTCAGAAAAACCTCTGATGAAGCGATACAGTTAGTTATTACTGTGTCTCCACGATAAAATCAAAAGCTTGTCTGCAGTACTGCTTAGAAAGCTAGTTGCTCTTATTCTGAGAAAAAAATATACTTTTAGGGAAAATTGTGCCTATTACTGTCTCTTGATAGGATACAACTAAGGGGTTCACATGGACAAGTCTATTTTTGAGTACTGAGAATCAAATAATTATTTGTGAGTGTATATGATATATCCTTGTTGTAATTTCTACTTTTTCCCCCCACCCTTTTACTCCTCTAGGTGACATCCCAGTTGTTCCACTTAATTTTGTCATGATATCCCTGGAAGGTCCATTTAGCAGGGATACAGTGGAAGGATGTGTGAAGGAGACATTGCTTTTTTTATCACGATCCATTTCCATCAAACAAAATGTGGAATTTACTTTCAAAGGAATCGGGGTCCTTGTGATTAAAGACAACAAAGTGAAGATGAGATTTTATAAGGACTTCCTTTGTTCAGTGGATGGAAGTGGGACTTTGGCAAAAGCCCTAGCAAATGTAAATTAATGTTTTCCTTCTCCAAACCCCTCTCCCAATCATAGCTTTGAATTGTTGTGTCATTATTAAGAAGAATTATTAAGAAAAATTCAGGTGGAGTTGTGCCTGGGTAGCTCAGTCAGTTGTTACCAACCCTTGATTTCAGCTTAGTTCATAATCCTCAGGGTCATGAGACTGAGTCCCACATTGGGCTCCATGATCAGTAGGGAGTCTTTGGGATTCTCTCTCTCCCTCTCCCTCTGCTCTTCCTCCCTCTTGCATGCACACATTCTCTCTCTTAAATAAATAAATAAATCTTTAAGGAAAAAAAAATATTCAGGTTGGCATATTTTAAATGGCACTTACCCCGAGTATGAAGAAGTCCTTGTTTATAGATGACTAATTCTTTGACAAAGTTTAGAAGGGCAAAGAAACTTTAAAATAAGTTTTGAGTCAATGCCAATTGAAAAATATAAATAGTAATAGAAACACTCATAATTCTGAATGTTTTATAGTACCTTATAGTTTAAAAATTCTTCCACATGTATTATTTCATTTGCGGTTCAAAACTTTTATCAAACAGGCATTATTTTCATCCTGATTTTATAAATGAGAAAAACGGAGGTCAGATTATGCGGAGAGACTGAAGTCAGGGTGCTAATAAGTGGTAGAACCAGATTTTATGATCATTCTATTTTTTTTTCTTTTTGCTGGTTATAGCATTTTAATGAAAACCTATAGTGAATTGAGTCATGGAAATGTATCTTTCTTCAACTTTTTAAAAAAAGATTTTATTTATTTGACACAGAGAGAGATTACAAGTAGGCAGAGAGGCAGGCAGAGAGAGAGGGAGAAGCAGGCTCCCCGCTGAGCAGAGAGCCCGACATGGGGCTCCATTCCAGGACCCCGGGATCGTGACCTGAGCCGAAGGCAGAGGCTTAACCCACTGAGTCACCCAGGTGCCCCTTTCTTTAGCTTTTAATTTGCCATATTGTGGAACAAATTTCTAACTGACTCCATCGTTGTTAACTGTTCAGTAACTGGTATGATCTTCATGCTAAGTTCGACATAGCAGAATTTAAGGAGCTAGTGAAGTAGTCAATCAGGGGGACTAAATGCTTACTGTGCCCTAGGTTCACCTCTGGGAACCAACAAAGCTGGTATAAGTGAATTAGATTGTCATAGAATATTAGATAATCCTGTGTCCCACAGAGTAAAAGCCCGATTTTTTAAGTGAAAAGGCTATAAAATGAAATTCTATAAATATGGTCAAATTCTACCCTTTAATTTATTCTCTCATGGAGCTCTTAAGAGTTGTACAAAATGAGGCTATTCGTGTTTCCTCACAATCTGGTTTTATGCAGGATCTTAAAGAGAGGTACCGACCCTGTGTGTGTAAAGTGGAAACACATACAGGTATAACCCTCTTTTTCCATGAAAACCCACCAGAAACAAGGCCAAAGCACTCACCCATCTCTAATCTTCAGGGATACTAGGGAACTCTGTAGCTTTAATAATGCATTTCTAAGAGAGGACAGAATTTTAATTGGCCTGCTGTACTCCTTTAAGCCATAACTTTTAAGGAGCGCTTTCCAGAAAGTAGTCCTGAGAGAGATCCTATGAAAAGAGGATCTGGAGGCCAAAGCCAATGGAGGACTGCTGCATATATCAACTTCACGCACAGAAGCACAAAGCACACAGGCCTGTTCAAGGATCTGAGAAGTCCAGCTACAGAGAAGCTACTTTAACTGCCTGAATCATGAATCATGGAACTTTAGGTTAATCCAATACTTGTTAACATCTATAAAACACATTTTGGGAACTTGCTGTAAAGTGGTGAGAATGATTGTTTTCCCCTCAAATGTCCCAGAACTTAAACCTGAGTGCTGTCTTGCAGAATGGTTCTCTTAGGAAGCTGTGGGTTTTTTTCAATGATGCTGCTTTTGGTGGAAACATATTTAAAACCTCTTTTTGGAAATTCCTTTCAAAGCCTTTTGTAAACTGTGTCATTAATCCCAGAATAATTTTGTATATCATTCTATACCAGTATAATATATAATGTGATTACTATCTAATGTAATAATAATGATAATAACGGCTATTTGTTGACTGCTGATCCTGTGCCAGCCACTTACATACAGTACCCCCAAATCCGGTGAATTAGAGCCCATTGTTAGCCCCATATGCCCAGGGTCTAAGGCTACATAACTTTAACAATATGGAGTTGTGAATATGAACCCACCAACTTCAAGCTCTTCTCTTAACCACCCAACTTTAGAGTTATTTGGGTCAAGCGTGAAATTAGCTTGCTTGTTCATTTTCCTGATAGTTTTTTTTTTTATTAAGTTGGCTCTCCTCTCAACAATGTGTAAAGGAAGCCATGAACTCTGAAGGCAATTTCCAAAGAGGCGATGGTTTGAGAAAAGGCAGCATCAGTGAGTTGGTATGGGACTACCCAGGTGGTAAATGAAATAATTCCTCATTGGTTTTATAAGCTCTAGACTTTAAGCACTCAAAAAAGTAACAATAGAGAGTACCAGGGTAGCCTTGCTTCTGAGATAGCCGATAGCTTAGATGACTCTGTGTCCGGGACCACTGCCCCAGGTGTAAGCCTTTTCTGTCTCTGTCCTTCAGAGGCCTGACACTGTGGACTCCGTGTTGTCTAGCAGAGAGATCTCAGGGAAGCGACCCAACAGTGTGCTTGCATTTCCAAGGTTAGTGCTTTGCTCCACAGGTTCCTCCAGGACAGCAATCCTTGTTGATTTATTAATGTGATTGGGTTGTGTTTCTCACCTTTTCTAGCTCATGCTGCTTTCAGTGTTCTCTCTTTCTCTCTCAGTGCTCCAGCAAAAAAGAATTTTATGCATACTTTCCATAGCTAAGATAGAAAACAATGCACAGACTATTCCTTTTTTATATTATTTTTTTTTCTGAGGTTTCAATAATTCTAAACACCACTTGGTGCTCATCACGACAACTATACTCTTAATCTTCTTTATCTCACCACTCCCCCATCCACCTCCCCTCTGGAAACCACCAGTTTATTCTCTGTATTTAAGAATCTGCTTTTTTTTTTTTTTTTTTTTGGTCTCTTATTTTCTTTGTTTGTTTGTGGAACTCCTAAGTTCCACATATGAGTGGAATGATATGGTATTTGTCTTTCTCTGTCTGACTTATTTTACTTTGTATTATACCTTCTAGGTCCATATGGACTATTCATTTTTTAAACTACTCGTAGTTCCCTGGAAATTCTGATACTACCTCCCATCACCTTTAGTCCCTGCAATATAAGTACAATTCCTCTCATCTGCGGTGCTTTCTTCTACCTTCTATCACTTCCTCTGACCTAGCTTCTTCTTTCTGCAGTGTAGCCCACCTCCTGTCTACACTCTGATTTTTACCCCTCAAGCTGTTAGAGAGACAGGTAGAATAAAGGAACAACTTTATCTTAAGAGTGCTGTGGGCATTACTGATGACTGCTGCTGACATGATTATAATAATGATAATGATAGTAATAATAATAATTGTCATCAATGGAACACTTTCTACTGTAGATGTCAGATACTGTTAAGCATTTTTTCAGTATTATTGTACTGAACCTTAACTACAGCTATGTAGGGTACATATTATAATTTTATCCATTTTATAGAGGTACAAAATTAATTGTAGTTTTAATTCTTCCCCCCCCATCCTTTTAACAAGTGAAACAACATGGTATAGTATTGAGAACACTGGAACAGGGGTCAGGAGATGGCTTTTATTTCCAGTGAGTGGCTCTCACTCACTCATTGCATGCCCTTAATCATGTTCTTCATCTTTATTGCTGCCCAACTGACTACTATGCATTTCAGGTGGAGAAAGTTTGGGGAATAACAACCAGCTTTCCAGAGTGTTATTTTCTCATGGTTTTTGAGTATGTGACATTCTCTTATGTTCGTTGGAATACTGATGAAAGGACTGCATGACATATACCTCAGCAAAACCAGTGTGAGGGCCAGAATAAGCATTAGAGAAGAGTTAGTCCAACCCCTTCATCTTGTAGATGAAATGACCAAACAACTGGCTGACCAAGTCAGAAATAAAACTATGGCTCCTCACTGCTGCATCGTCCTTTCCATTGCATCATGTTGCCTTACTCATTAAAAAGAAATCAATGAATTAAAATAATTTTATTTTGATTGTATTTGGGAAGGCAAATCTGGCTGCCCTGCTAGGACATATTTTGGCTTAAGCACTCCAAGAAGGAAATAACTGAATTGATTCAAGACCAGACACTGACAGGCTCTCCTCTTAATTACAGAGTCTAGATATGGACATGAGGACTCAAATAGTCAAAACAGTTATAGACGTTGTATTTATGTGAAGTTTGGCCCCTCAGTCTACTGGAAGTACCACCTCTCCACCATTCTCATCTCTCTTGCTTGCCACTCTAACCCAGAACTCCAAACTTGAGACCACAGAGAATCTACAATTACACACACCAACTAACAAACCCATTCCCCCACTGTGTCTCTGTAAGTCCCTCACTTTTGCCTGGAGAAGGGGTGGAGATGTGGGGAGGAGAAAGAAAGAGGAGAGAAATGGTTATTTCCAGACATACTCTGCCTACAGGGTATGAATCTGCCCTCAAGCCATCCAACAGCCACCTTTCACTGTATCACTCCTAATGGCATCTCGGTATAGAACTAGAAAAGAAAGACAAATTTAAACTGAAACTAAACCCAAAAGCTTAAATCCCACAATTTATCTGTATAAGAGCTGCTTTTGAGCCCCCCGTGTTGAGGGGGAAGGTCTCGGTCAGCTCTCAGATTTAGACTCAAATCGAGCCTCAGCAATTCAAAGCACTTGCCCCCTTGAGGGAATTGCGCTTACTTCAGAATCAGAGAGCTAGCTGGCTGGCTTCTCAGGATTGAAAGTTCACATGGTCACCTATTCAGGTCCAGTGCAGTAAACATTGTGGCTTATTTCTAGGATTGAGCTCAAGGAGATGGAGAACAAACCACCTATGGAGACCATTGTAGAAGAAGGTAGAAAGAATAGACAAGGGAAGTGCAAATTAAAAGACCAGCCAGACAAAGAAGAAGGCATCAGAGGTAGGCCAATGATTCTGGGCATCATCTGTCATGCTTTATTGCTTATGGGTCCAGCCATATTTCTTAGTGACTTCTGTGCCCCAATAAAATTAGTTAGATTCATGAATAATCACTGTATTCTTCTTTCTAACAAATATATTATTTATTTAGATCATGATTTTTAAAGTTATTTATTTATTTATTTATTTATTTATTTATTTATTTTTAAAGATTTTATTTATTTGACAGACAGAGACCACAAGTAGGCAGAGAGGCAGAGAGAGAGGGGGAAGCAGGCTTCTTGCTGAGCAGAGAGCCCGATGCGGGGCTCGATCCTAGAACCCTGAGATCATGACCTGAGCTGAAGGCAGAGGCTTAACCCACTGAGCCACCCAGGCACCCCAAAGTTATTTATTTTACTAGATAAATCCTATAATCTCTTTCATAAACATCTGAGGAAAAACTACCTATGTTTATATGATTTCTAAAAACTTATATTTCTTTATTCTAGAGATATAAGAAAGTTCTAGAACAACATTACCAAAAATTATATAAATGTTTAATTGTATAATGTAGCATTTATGGTAAACCTCTAAATATTTCTTAATCCAAAAGAAAGTAAATTGGCTATGGCTAATAATTACAGAATATCTGCTAAATACTATGACCATGCTGATATTTTATATATGTTAATTAAATCTCATAAAGCCTCAGGATTTTTTCAAGTAGAATTTTTTTTTTCATGGTAGCCAGACAAGGTTTATTTTAGCAATGTAGAGATTGTCTGGCATTAGGAAATGTATTTAAATTATACAGTTCATCAATAAGAAAAGTAAATCACCCAAATCTAGATTCTGAAAAGCATTTGATAGAATTCCACATCTGGGGCGCCTGGGTGGCTCAGTGGGTTAAGCCTCTGCCTTCGGCTCAGGTCATGATCTCAGGGTCCTGGGATCGAGCCCCGCATGGGGCTCTCTGCTCAGCGGGGAGTCTGCTTCCCTCTCTCTCTGCCTGCTTCTCTGCCTACTTGTGATCTCTGTCTGTCAAATAAATAATCAAGAAATCAGAAAAAAAAAAGAATTCCACATCTGTTTCTGTTTTTTTTTTAACTTTTAAGATTATAGAAAGAGTAGGATAATTTTTTTAAAATACTATTATTTTAAAATTTTATTATTAATATATAATGTATTATTTGTTTCATGGGTACAGGTCTGTGATTCCTCAGTCTTACACAATTCACAGTGCTCACCACAACACATACCCTCCCCAGTGGACATTACCCTGCCACTCCATCCTTCCCACCTCCCTCCACTCCATTTAACAAATATTTTCTATTCCTGGAATCTTATATCTCATCTTGACCATTTTTGACTCTCAGGCTTTTAGACTATGATCTCTTTGTTGGTTCTCATTACTTAAAGAGGCCAAAACTCAGATCCCTATGGGGTCCAGGCAGATAATAAATGCATGAAGTGTGTTCTATGTAACATGATAGAGTGATACATTAGCATAAATAATAATTTTATAAAAAGTAGATAATTTTGTAAAAAATAGAGAATGATAATTTTGCATCTTTGATATTTGACTTAATAAAAGATAGGTGGATTTTTATATCTATGTCTTTACCTAATCTGTTATGATGTGTTGTTTGGTTAAAGCATATGAAGAAAGTCCTAGGACTTCAAAGACTTTTTGAAAGGGTCCTAGAGATCCTTAGGGGTTTCCGTACTACTCTCAGAAGACTTCCTCTGGAGAACTGTTGCTCTGTGGGCAACACACTAATTGACACTGAAGCAAAAAATGCTGATTGGGCCAAACAAATCATATTAGTGGGTGAACACTGGTTTCTGGTTCTTAGTTTTGCAACATGAGGTCTACGTGATTACATGTAAACTTTTAGCCTAATATTCCCATGCTTTTGTGTTTTTAGCCTCCTCTGTCACTGTTCCCCATAAACTTCTTCTCTGAGCAAAACTGTCCATATTCTTCTAACATGTCTTGCCCTTCCCTGCCTTCATGCTTTTGCTTACGCTTTTTCTCCTGACTACAATGTCCTTCCTTTTCTTACAGTCTCTCCCAATCCTCCTCACCTCTCAGCATCCTTTTTACATCTCACTTCTCTCATCACTAGACTCTGAAATGTCTTCTATCTTCTCTGAACATGGCAGGCCCTTGAAGATGGCACCATCATTTGGGATTTAGACATTTTTTTCATCATTGTCCTGAGTTGTTGTTTATGCATGTATGTAAAGAACTTAGCATTGTTGACACGTAATAAGATCTCAACAAATGAGAGCTCTCATGTTTTTTCTTTTTCTCTTATTTTTCTACCCAGCTATTGATCTCCCCCTGTTTAATGAGCGTGTTATATCCAGATGAACCCATCATATGTTGAAACTATCATATTAATACACATAACCTACTGAATAGTATAGCTAGCCTATCTTAAATGTGCCATCTAGCCTACATTAGCCTACAGTTGGGCAAAATCATCCAACACAAAGCCTATTTTATAAAGTATTGAATATCTTGTGTGATTTATGGACCACTGAAAGTGAAAAACAGACTGGTTGTCTGGGTACAGAATAGTTGTACATGCTCTGCTTGCTTGCTCCTGTTATTGTGTGGCTGACTGGCAGATGCATCTTGCTGCTCTGCCCAGCATCCCAAGGGAGTACTCTGCCACGTATCCCTAGATATGTGAAGATCACACTTCAAAATTCTAAGTACAATTTCTGTTGGATGCATATCGCTTTTGCACCAACGTAAAGTCAAAAATTCACAAGTCGAACCATTTTTTTTTAAGATTTTATTTATTTATTTGACAGAGACAGCGGGAGACCGAACCCAAGCAGCGGGAGTGGGAGAGGGAGAAGCAGGCTTCCCGCTGATGCAGGGCTCAATGCAGGGCTTGACTGGGATCATGATCCTAGCCGAAGGCAGACGCTTAACGACTGAGCCACCCAGGCGCCCCAAGTAGAACCATCATTAAGGGAACTAAAGATCTTTAAGGGCAAAGACTTGCCTCTTTGCATTTTCTTAAGTGACCAGCCAGCTTTGCACATAAGAAGTACACAGCAAAAATATTTGTTTTAACTACACTAGGGCAAGGACAATAATTTAAGATAAGAAATGTTTCTTATATAAAAATTTTTCCTAGTAAAATAATGAGTTTTAAAAATCAGTTAGGTATAAAACCACCCATTTAAGTTTGGAAGGAAACTTGGTTTCATTCATTCTACAGAGATCTTATCACCCAAGAGACTTCAGGATAAACAAGCCATATCCCCTCCCAAAATGACAAGTGCCACCTTGCTGAACAAGTTAGAGCGTAATGGGAGTGGCGGGAAGATTATGAACCCTGAAAGGTAATGCATTGGTATTTTACCTGTTTTATGTTACTAGATGTATTTTTGAGTTCTATCTTGATGCAGGGCATTAAAGTAAATGTCCATTCATTCCTTCATCCAGGATTCTTGAGTACATTCTACCTGTTAGGTGATTGAGATAATAGATACAGTCAGGGCTTACCACCCAGTGGGGAACCCAGACATACATAGAATAATTAGTTGATTCAGTAGGATACTTGGAAACAGCACAGAGGAGGGAACATCTAAATCTCTTTGTGGATTTATGAATACTTCCCTTTTCTTTTTCTTTCTTTCTTTTTTTTTAAAAGATTTTATTTATTTATTTGTTAGAGAGAGAGAGAGTGAGAGAGCAAGAGAGAGAGTGAGAGAGCTCATGAGCAGGGGGAGCAGAGAGAGAGGGAGAAACAGACTCCCCACTGAGCAGGGAGCTCGATGTCGGGCTCGATTCCAGGACCGTGGGATCGTAACCTGAGTTGAAGGGAGATGCTTAATGGACAGAGCCACCCAGGCTTCCCCTGGTTGTTTCCTGTGCTTGGATATTACAATATGACACAGTTTCATATTTAGATAAAATTGGAAAGCAGCTTTGCTAAACATGGTTGGAACTTAATAAATGTTCTTTGAATCAATGGATGTATTACAAATCATCATGGCCACGTCTTCTAACAATTTTACGTCAAAAGATTTCTATATTTTTTTCCTCTTTGAGGAGGACACTTTTTAAGACCTCCAATCAGTTATCTGTATGCAAGTATTTATTGAGCATCTACTATGTACCTTGCACTGTCCTGTCAACTTTGAATTTATTAATGTGTCACAATGTATCAGCTATCATATGTATGATTTGTGCACTTTCTTGGATACTAAGGTCATGTTCAAAACATTAGGCACACTTTTTTTTTTAAGATTTTGTTTATTTATTTCACAGAGATCACAAGTATGCAGAGAGGTAGGCAAAGAGAGAGAGGGGGAAGCAGGCTCCCTGCTGAGCAGAGAGCCCAATGCAGGGCTCCATCCCAGGACCCTGAGATCATGATCTGAGCTGAAGGCTGAGGCTTAACCCACTGAGCCATCCAGGCACCCCAGCACACTCTCACTGTTGGGGCGCCTGGGTGGCTCAGTGGGTTAAAGCCTCTGCCTTCAGCTCAGGTCATGATCCCAGAGTCCTGGGATCAAGCCCCGCATGGGGCTCTCTGCTCAGCAGGGAGCCTGCTTCCTCCTCTCTCTCTCTCTCTGCCTGCCTCCCTGCCTACTTGTGGTCTCTGTCAAATAAATAAATAAAATCTTTAAAAAAACAAAAAAAAATAAATAAATAATCTCACTGTTATGAAAGAGAATTGAGAATTAAATGTCTTGTTCTTTGGAATTTAGTTCAATCCAACAGACACTGAGCACCACTGCATGCCCAACATTATTCTAGATACTGAAGAAACAGAGCCATACGACATATAAAAGACCATATAAACTTGCTTTCATAAAAGAGTCTTTTAGGGAGACTGATGCTGAAGAAGTAATACTCATGACAAAGACAACAGAAGAAAGTACAGAAGCTGCAAAGAGGAGGGAGTAATTAATTGTTAGGGTTATTAATGAAGGCTTCCTATTGGTGTGGACCAAAAAATGGTTTTTGTGCTGATCATTAAAGTAATATCTGTTTATCACAGAAATTTTTAAAAAATGAGAAAAGCAAAAGATACAAAAAATCAGTCATAACCCCATAAGTAGATGAAACTTTCTGCTAATATCGTGGTATATATTCTTCATTTTAATGCATATACAATATATACATATATTTATACTTGAAACCTGTACACATTTTAAGTACAACTGAGATAGTATCATGAAGCTTTGTTTACCACAATAAGTGGTAAACATTTCCCCATGGCTTTAAATATTTCAGGATATAAACAAATAATTGCATATCATTTCAGTGATTTAACCTTTTGTTTGACCAGTCTGCTTTTGTATATTCAGATGATATTTAGTTTTTTAAATATTATAAATAATATTGGGATAATATAACTACACAGAAGTCTCTGCTCACATTTGAATATCCTATAGGATAAAAACTTTAACATAAAATTTTTGAGATAAGAGATGAGCCCATTTTTCATGTCTTTGATACATGTTAGCAATTGTTTTCAGGAAGGTTGTATCAAATTATCTTCCCAGGAGCAGGAATATGAGGGAGGGCTATCTTCTCCATAGTTTTGTTAATCCTGGACATTGTTCCCTCCAATGGATTCCTACTCTTACCCAGGTTCAAGATCCTGCCTGATCTCTGATCTCCCTCCTACTTTTTGTCTACGGTCTCATCTCCCTCTGGCCACATTGAGCACAGGCACACTCCCACACCAAGGACTTTGCACTCATTCACTCTGCCTGGAATACTTTTTCCATTGGATATCTGATTATTTTTACTCCCTCACTTTATTCAAATGTCATCTTGGTGGAGCATCCCTGGGGATTCTGCTTATGGTTTAATACATTCTGTCCCTCCAGCACTGCAAGGCATTTATCACCATCATACATATTATTGAATTCATTCATTCATCTTGTTTATCAACTGGCTGTCAGTTCCTATCAGAATGTCAATTCCATTAGGCCCAGGATTTCTCTTTCTTTTTTCCTATGTTTTGTTGTTCACTGCACCTCCCATGCCTAAAACAGTGCATATAATAAGCACAATTCATTTTATAGAATGAATAAATTTTATCCCAGTTTCACAGAATTGGTAACTGAGGCTTTGCAAGATGACTCAGCCTGCCTAATGGCATCAGCTTATAAGCAAAAAGTGGGTTTCAAACCCAAGTTTATTTGCTATGAAGCATGGGTTCTTAACCTTTATGCATAGAGATTCTCTGCAAAAAAAAAAAAGGTATTTTTATTTCTTTTATATTTATACTTGCCTCTAAAATTATCATTGCTCATGTCAGACTGTTTTAAACATTAATTAGTGTTGCACTGTTTTTATAGTTTGTCATCTCCAGGTTGTTTGAAAAGTGAAATGAAGCCTAAACTTTCTCCAGTCCCCACCTGCCAGGATCATAATAAGGCAGGACAGGTACAGTGTTTTCAAACCAACCAAAAAAATCCAATCAGAATCTTCCTCTGACTTCTGTTTCTCAATGAGAGTTATGGGAATTGCTCTTTTTTTTCAAGGTATGGATTTAGCTCATGTACTCAGCACCCCAAATTGGACTTTAATAAATCTTTCTACTAGTCAAAATCTGCTAGGATTAACAAAAGTAGGGTTGGGATATCTCTTTCTAATTTTGCGTTGCTATAAATGCTTCTGATCAAATGAGAGTTCAGTGTATCTTCTTGGGTATTTTGGGGGCCCACTCTACAAATCTCAATTTATTCATTGTCATTAATACATCCTTTTATGAAGTATGTTGCTTGACATAATCTTTGAAGAGCTTATGAAGGTATTGTGAAGGCAAAAAAGTAAAAGGCAAGAATTAACATGTCTTCAAACCTGGTATTGTAGGAGATGTGTTATGTGTGTTTGCAACGAGCACAGCGTAATTCCCCATTGTGCTACAGTGAGGAAAGGAAGAGGAGAGAGATAGAAGATGAGCGACTCATTCAGCAGTATCAAATCCTGAAGGACCAAGAGGCTCTCTTAAAACAGCAGGTAGTTCAACACCTTGATTAAAGAGTGCTTAACAGGGACGCCTGGGTGGCTCAGTTGGTTAAGCAGCTGCCTTCAGCTCAGGTCATGATCCCAGCATCCTGGGATCGAGTCCCACATCGGGCTCCTTGCTCGGCAGGGAGCCTGCTTCTCCCTCTGCCTCTGCCTGCCATTCTGTCTGCTTGTGCTCGCTCTCTCTCCCTCTCTCTCCCTGACAAATAAATAAATAAAATCTTAAAAAAAAAAAAAAGAGTGCTTAACATGGGACAGTAGAACATGATTATAAAGTGCCATTTAAAATGCTCCATTAGGGGGCACCTGGATGGCTCAGTGGGTTAAAGCCTCTGCCTTCGGCTCCTGTCATGATCCCAGGGTCCTGGGATCGAGCCCCGCATGGGGCTCTCTGCTCAGCAGGGAGCCTGCTTCCCCCCCCCCCACCTGCCTCTCTGCCTGCTTGTAATCTTTATCTGTCAAATAAATAAAAAAATCTTTTAAAAAAATGCTCCATTAGGTGCTTGGGTGGCTCAGTTGGTTGGGTGTCTGACTCTTGATTTCTGCTCAGGGCTTAATCTCAGGGTTGTGAGTTCAAGCCCCATACTGGGCTCCAAGCTGCACATAGAGCCTACTTAAAAAAAAAATCCCCCCAAAACAACTTAAATATGTCTGTTCTGTAACATATTTGATCATTTACTTACTGCGGGATTAAAATGTAGGTTTTTTCCAGTTTTCACTAATAATGAGCAACACTGGGATGAACACCCAAGCAGCTGTATGTTTGCACCTGTTGCTGATTTCTCCCTCTCCCCCACCCCCAAAGATTGAATTTTAAAGGTAGAATTCCTGGATTGATATGGTTTAAACTGTGATTTCTAATAAGACATAGTCAAGGCTTTTCCCTTCAAAATCATGGCCTACCTAAGCAAGGAAAGAGAATGGCATGTTCACATTTGCACTATCCAAATTTCTGAGGTCTTCAATAATTGACCCTACTGCTTCTTCTTGCATTTGTGATATCGGGTAACTACTTATGAAGTCTTCCATTCCCTCTTATGATTCCCATAGAGGAGATGCCTAAAGCTCCCCAACCTACTTTTATAGATCTAAGAAGACATCAGAAAGTGCCATTGCCTCCAAAAGGCAAGTTTCTACCTTGGTTAGATAATTATAATGTAATAGAATTAAAATTTTAAAGGCTCTATGTCAATATGTGATTTTTTTCTCAAAGATGAGAAGTCTGGCTAATAGAGAACAAAATCAGAAAAATGCTGCCTACAACCTTGGAGTTGCTGAAGCTATAAGAATCCACAAGAATGAGAAACCTGAATTTTATGTGAGTGTTTCCAAAATTTCTGTTGCCACTATCTGCCCCATCCGGGTGTGTTTGGATCCATTCTCTGTGCTGCAGGCTGTACCATTGTGTAGGTGGCCGAGGTGAAATGTGGGTTGTGCAAGTTTGTAGCCCTGTTCTGGGTCAGGAGTTGTCCAGCGTCTGTGTCCAGACTCTTCACATCTGTAGTACAGTCTCTGGACAGTACAGTCTCGATACTATGGTACTTGTTAATGATAGTAATTCTCAGCTAGGCCCTGGGATGGGTGGTGGTGCAGTGTATACTACAGTAATACCCCAGGAGCCGTGGATCTGGAGAGCCAGTATGACCTGGGAGCTTGCTGGAAATGCAGAGTTGAGGAGCCCTATTCCTCCAGAGTGGGACTCTACATTTGAATAAGATCCTCCTGCGATTTGTAGGTGCAAGTTAAGTTTGAACAACCCAGCTCTTCTGTGGAGGTGAGCCACCTGCCTCACCACTGATTTAATGTTATCAATAACTGTGCACCTACCTTTATTTTGCTGAATCTTTCTCCCTTCACACCACTGTCTAGGTGGTCTGACACACGGGACATAACTCTAATAAAATACCTTTTCTTTATTCATCACCCAACATTTATTGGACTCCTATGTGCTGGTCACCGTGCTCATGGCTAGGAATACAAAGAGGAATAAGACAAGGTCCCTCCTGGAAGAGGTCTCAGGTTACTGGAGGAGACAAGTTTGAAGTGCTAAGAGTGTGGTATCATAAATGCTGTGATAAATCTTTGAACAGGGCAGCATGTGAGCAAAGAGTCACTTGACCCAGACCAGAGATGTGTGGGGACTTCCTTGTATAAAGGAGTTGGGTAAAGGAGGGGATGGTGGGAGAACCTTCCAGGGAGGGACAGCAGGGAGGGAGGAAGAAGACATGATACTTTTGAGATTCAAGCCTGATTCTTTTCTCTTCTTACATATGAGTTCCAGATTACGGTTATTGTTGCCTACTTTGTGTATCCTCTTTGATGTATCTGCAGACATCTTAAAAAGACCAAAACAGAATTTATTTTTTATTTTTAAAACACTTTAAAATTTAGATTCAATTAATTAACATATAATGTATTATTGGTTTCAGAGGTACAGGCTTGTAATTCATCAGACTTATATAATGCCTAGTGCTCATTACATCACATGCCCTCCTTAATGTCCATCACCCAGTTACCCCATCCCTCCACACTCCTCCGCAAATCAGAACTTTTGATCCCTCTCCTCACCTGTCCTTCTCTTTGCCTCCCCATTTCAGTAAGTGGAATCACCTGGCAGATGGCCGTACAAAGCCCAAACCAAGAAGTGATCCCAGATTGCTGCTCCCCTGTCTCCCCCATCCAGCCATCCTCAAGCACAGTTGCCTTTACTGCCCAAATGCATCCCATCTCTTCACATCCCTTCATCTCCAGGGTTACCAGTGCATCCTAGTACAAGCCACGTTTTAAGGCTCAGCTTCTGAAACACTTCCTGGTTAGGTTTGCTGCTGGCCTTCTTCCCCTTTACAATCTATTCTCAACACTGCAGTCAAGTGATCTTTTAAAACTTAAGCCAAACATAACATTCTCCTGTTTAAAACCTCTAACGGTCTCCCGGTGAGTTAAAACAAAATCTAAACTCTTTATCTTGACCTATCAGGTCCATATGGCCCTGCCTTCCTCTTTGAGCTCTCCTACTTCTTTGCTCTTGCTCACTGTGCTTCAGCCGTGTAGACCTTCCTTCTGCTCATTAAACATGCCTAACTTATTTTCACCTAGGGCCTTTGCACTTGCTGTTCTTTCGGTATGGGACACAGGTCACCTAATATTTGCAGTGGAGGTGTTCAGCCAACTTTACCGAAAGGACTTCTCTAATAACCAACTGCTTTAGCCCTGTTCCCACCCACTTGCTATCATAAGGGCTTCCTAGCATTTAATCCCTAACCTTAAACGATGATATATTGTTCACTTGTTCCCTATCTCCTGTACCGGAAGGCAGGCTCCATGCGCCAGGCTCTCTGTGGATCTCTGTCAGTGTCTAGAATGGCCAGGCCCAGAGCGGGTATTAAGTTCTCCCTCCTCCCGCATCTGCTCAGTCCTTGCTCATGCTTTTGCTCGCACTCAGAACTCCTTCTTTCCACCTGCGTGTTGTGCGAGCTCAGGACCTCCTCCATGATACCCTGTTTCATTTCTCTCTCAGGTATGGGGTTTTGTCAGTTCTGCTCAGGTTCGTCCTTGAGCACACTCCCATTGTTCTGTGGGTTGCCTCAACACTAGCTGGTCAGTGTGTTGAGGACTGGGCAAATACTGTAAATTAATAATTGACTTTAGTCTTCTGAATTACTACCTTTATTCTTTGTTGATTTTTGGTATTTTAGAGTAAATGCATTGCTTCTCCTTCTTTCCAGAAATCTTTCCTCTTTGATAAACGGCCACTCAGTCCTGAGATTAATGCTCTAAAACAAGAAGAATATTCCCAAAGTCTCCTGAAACAAATGGATAACAGACGGGAAAAAGAAATAAAGCTAAGACAAAACAGAGAGTTGATGGACCGCCTAGAACAAGTACAACTCACAGAGGAGTGAGTCTAGCTGACAGGTCCTGAAAAATGGGTTCAGAATTTTCCTGTGAAGCTTATTTCCATGTGGGATTGAATCAGCCTCGGTAGTTTCATTAGCATATTTCTAACCGACTGGGAAAACCAACCCAGCTAGCAGCCAGTTTGACATTTCTTTAGAAAAACGAAAAGGCTGTCATTAGTATAATGACCATTAGAGTAAGGATTAGCAATCTGTAATTCGTGATAGAGGATCTTTTTGTATTGTGTTGTGATCGCTAATACTGGCAGGTGGAGGAAGGGACTTGTCTTGAACTAGCAGCACTCCCAGCTACTCGCCGCTGATCTCAAGGCAAGCTGGCGTTCTGTTTTAAGTAGGGGTGTCTCTACTTTTGGTACGTAGGGGTAGGATGAAGTAGTAAGGGTAGGAGTGTGTGGGAGATGTAAGTGGGGTAGAACCAGGCATATGTAAGAAATGCTTTCCCTCTGCTTGTACCCACAGCTCCTTGATTGACATCATCTCTTTTTCAGCCCGAACTTGGGGGAATATTAGTCCCAATTACAAATTTTCAGAAATGAGAATTTGATTGGTCTTGCTTAGGTCACCTGAGGCCTGGGATAGGGTCAGAGTTGCCTAAGGGGGTCCTGTTTCTACAACTGAGGTCAGGAGAGCAATTAAAGAGGTTACTGTAGTGGGAAAGAGACTCTTAAAGAGTAAACTGGTTTTTATGACGAAAGATTTACTTTTCTATAAAATGTATATGTTCCATTATACTCACTTTATGGATCATGTGGGTTCCCTGTGGGTTGCCTGTAACAGAATCATAATTTATAACAGGAAAGATCACTTTTCTTAAAAAGGAATCATATGGTGAATCATTTTATAGAGTGAATAGACACTTCCTGCTTTCCTATCTAGGTTTTTGTTTTATTTTATTTTATCTTATTTTTTAAGATTTTATTTATTTATTTGACAGTCAGAGATCACAAGTAGGCAGAGAGGCAGGCAGAGAGTAAGAGGGGGAAGCAGGCTCCCCATGGAGCAGAGAGCCCGATGCGGGGCTCGATCCCAGGACTCTGAGATCATGACCTGAGCCGAAGGCAGAGGCTTTAACCCACTGAGCCACCCAGGCGCCCCTAAGTTTTTGTTTTAAAGCATGGTGGGTGGAGGGCTACCTGTCCAGAGATAGTGAGTTTGGACAAAATGGTCAATCCCCTGCTTACATCTGTCCTGTCTGTCCTATATTCAACACACTGTCCACTAGCCTTTGGATCTGTTACTCCTTTCTTCATTAAAATGAAAGCTCTGGGAGGAAATACCACTTTTTATATACCAGTCTCTCACTCCTATTGATACTTAGGAAACAGGTTTTAGTGCTGTTAGTCTCTGTTACCAGAGACAGTAACACACTGTACACCCCCCTTCTCTTATTCCTAACTGCCAGACTCGCTGCACAAAGAGCCCAGTATATAAAAGATAAGATGGAAGAAACACAGTGTTACAAGAGAGCTTTGGATGCGCAGGTAAGGGGACAACTGTTATCTTAAAAATTATGCTGTGCTTCAGTAGCATTCTAAAAATCTGTATAATAGCTCTCATGTGATGAGTAGCCTTATATGTTACCCATTTTGTGGTTTTGGGGGCCCTCGTTCCTTCCTCTGGGGGGGGTTGGTATTTTACTGTGCTACGGTGTTGTGTGTACGGTTTATTGCCTGGTAGAATTCTGGTCTGCACGATGTATGTCCCTGTTTCAGATAAAGAACAAACCCCTGCAACTTCCCATGTTTGAGCCAGACTCTAGTGAGCCCATCTTTGGTAAGGATGAGGGTGAGCTGATGGTGGAAAAGCGAAAGCGAGAACAGAATTACATGAAGCACCAGCTGGAGGCCGCTGCCAGCCACAGGAGGAGAACCATCCTGCAGCAGCTGGTGGAACAGAATCGGGATTTGCAGATGCTTCTGAGGACACAGAGAGAGTGAGAGAGCCCAGATCTTCCTCCCTCCCCCCACCTCCTCCTCTCCCTCTCCCCTTTCCATCTTGCTGTTCTTTCTCTCTCTCTCTCTCCCTCCTACAACAGCAAGAAGCAAAAATAATAGTGAACACACTGAGGAGTGACTGTGTGCAAAATATTGTTCTAAGCTTATTAAATCCTTCATCTTGGTTTGTCCTTACAATTCACCCTATGAAGAAAAGTTATTGATTAGAAAACCCGACCAAGCAGACCCGATCCTCCTCCTCCCTCCAGTTCCTTCTCCATGTTTTTCCCTTCCCTTTGCAGTACAGCTTCTTAAAAGAGTTGTCCAGACCAGCACGATCCATTGGAAATACAATGTGAGTGACAAATGTGCTGCTGTGCTCAACTAGACACCGACCTGAAACTTGGGCTCTTTCTCAGCCTCCAATAAAGCCCCTTCCTTCAAAGAACTGTTGATGAAGTGAGCTGTACTTATGGCAGGCGAGGTGTGGTGAAAGCGGCAGGGTGGGCAAGGCAGGACTTGATGCCCTATCAGTGAAAATATATGAAAATTCAACCATCAGATACCCAGTTTCTTTCTTTCTTTCCTTTTGATTTGATGAGTCAATACATTCTACTATGCTCATCACAAGCATAGCGACCATCTGTCCTGGTACATTGCTCTTAACGATGTCATTGACCCTATTCCTTATGCTGTGTCTTTTATTGCCTTATTCATTCCATAACTAGAAGCCTATATGTCCCACTGCCCTTCACCCATTTTGCCTGACCCTCCATGCCCCTCCCTTTCGGCAAGCTTCCAGTTTGTTCTCTGTTGAGTCTGCTTTTTGTTTGTTTATTCATATTTTTTACAGTCATATGGTATTTATCTTTCTCAGTCTGACTTGTTATTTCACTTAGTATGAAATCCTTTAGGTCCATCCATGTTGTCTCAAATGGCATGAATTTGTCCTTTTTAATAGCAGTGTAATATTCCATGGTGTGCATATGTGTGTGTGTGTGTGTGTGTGTGTGTGTATGGATGGATGGATAGATAGATAGATAGATAGATACCACATTTTCCCTACCCATTTGCCTATTGATGGATACTTAGGTTGCTTCCATATCTTGGCTACTGTAAACAATGCTGCAGTAAATGTAGGGGTACAGATATCTTTTTGCATTAGTGTTTTCATTTACTTTGGGTAAATACCCAAAGGTAGAATTACTAGATCATATGGTAGTTCTATTTTTAATTTTTTGTGGAACCTCCATACTGTTTTCACAGTGCCTGCACAAATTTATATTCCTACCAATACTCCATGAGGGTTCCTTTTTATCCACATCCTTGCCAACACTTGTTTCTTGTCATTTGATTTTAGTTATTCTAATTGGTGTAAAGTGATAGCTCATTGTAGTTTTGATTTGCAATTTCTCTGATGATGAGTGGTGTTAAACTCTGCCATTTCCAAGCTGTATGACCTGGGCCAAAACACACGTGGGGTCCTTGAGCCCTCTTTTCCTCACATGAACATAAGGGATAATATACCTGTTGAAACTGCCCTACCTATCCGTACTGTGAGAAGAATGTGAGAGTATGTATTCGAGAACATTTTTGGAAACTGCAGAGGTCTGAACAAATATGAACTGTGGTGTTGGTTATCTCTCTTGTTGAAGCTCCCCCTCCTTTTCTGTATGGGTCAGATCCTTGTCTTCCATTTCTATATCCTTCACGTGGTATCCCAGATTCTCTCACTTATCTCTCTCTCTTTCTCTCTTTTTAGATTTTATTTATTTATTTGACAGAGAGATAGAGCCAGAGAGCGTAAGTGAGGGGCTGGGGGTGGGGGGATGGCAGAGAGAGGAGGAGAAGCAGGCAGAGCCCAATGCTGGGCTCGATCCCAGGACTCTGGGATCATGACCTGAGCTGAAGGCAGACACTGAACCAGCTAAGCCACCCAGGGGCCCCTCTCACTCAACTCTTTTCCAACTTCCCTGTCTCTCGTTCATCTCACGATGTCATCTTAAAGCCTCCTATGACAAGTAAAGGGTCACTTTCAGAGGGGATAATTTAGTCAGAGTGATCTAAACAGGCCTGTTAAAATATTCTTTTTGTTTTTTCTTAAAGATTTTATTTATTTATTTGACAGAGATCACAAGTAGGCAGAGAGGCAGGCAGAGAGAGAGGGAAGCAGGCTCCCCACCAAGCAGAGAGCCCTATCTGGGGCTCAATCCTAGGACCCTGAGATCATGACCTGAGCCAAAGGCACAGGCTTAACCCACTGAGCTACCCAGGTGCCCCTAAAGTATTCTTTTTCTTTAAACTTTTCTGCTTTTGTTTATAAAAAATAGAACAATTCATGTTCATTAAAATAAGTCAACTGGTAGAATAAAACAAGGTTAATAGTCTCCCCCAGCCTTCTATATTTTTTCCTACTCTTTACAAATATCTTCACACAATACCCACATATATATTTTCCTTCTACTTTTGTAAATGAAAATTTCCTTCTACTTTTGTAAATGAAAAGACCTATGAGATCGTATACATTACTCTGCAGCCCAACTTTTCTTTAACCTAATAATGCATCATTAATTTATAGTTAGGTCAGTACATAGAAGCAAAATTAATTCCTTCTTTATTGGCAGCATAACTTCTATAACATGGATTACTATAATTTAATCATAATAAAATTTGATTAATTATTGTAATTTAACTTTTACACTATTGATGAAAATTCACTCGGCTTTCAGCTGGTTTGCTATTACAACAACTTTTGCATTAAACATTTTAAATATATATCTTTATATTGGTTCTTTTGTTTCTGTTGGATGAAATCCTAAAAGCAGAGCTGCTGGATCAAGCGTATGGCACATTTTAAATATTACCAGATACCAGCAGTTTGCTTTCTAAAAAGGTAAGGCGAGTTCCCTCCACCAGCAGTCTTGTGAGAATCCTCGTGGTCTCCCCTGTGGCCCATTTCATTTTCTCACTTGCTTGGCATCTAAATTAAGCTGACTTTTAAAATTCTGCTTTTACAAAGAAAACAATAGTAGCTGAAAAGCATATGCAAAAATGCTCAACATCCCTAATCACTAAGGGAAAGAACATCAAAACCACGGTGAGGTAGCTGCTCGTTAACAAATGATCTCCGCACTCTGAAATGTGCACAGGTGAGCCTTCTTCGGCCGCCAGATGCCCTCCTTTGTCCTGTTTGGAATAGACACCATTTAGCATTTAATTAGATTTTTGCCTCTATAAGGCAAGAAGTAGTTCATGTTTCCTTGACTATTTGCTTATCTGAACTGGAGAGACAGGGATTCTCCACTCCAGTGAATAAAGGCACCCAAGTAGGATGGCAAGATTGCAAATGTAGCTGTGGTTTGTATCACACAATTTAATAACTTGATTCCGATCACATATCTATCCTGGAGTGCCAAGTCTATGGCAGCTGAATGAAGTAAGCAGTTAGCAAACTGTTCACTCTTCCCTTTGCAACTCATTCATGCAGATGTAGGAAAACATCTTTTACTGTTTAAGATGTATATATCCCTGTAACGTAGACGGATAAGATGGCTATCTTTTCTTCCCCCTAGGGCTTTATGAAAAGGAAACATACATTTGCGAACAGTGTCACAAGGTTTCACAAGTGCAAAGATGAAATGTGCTCTCATTTATCTTGTATTATAATACTGTGCTTTGATTCTTTGTGAAATGTCCAAATCAAGAATAATTATAGATTTTTCTTTTTCTTTTCCTTTTTTTTAAAAGATTTTATTTATTAGAGTACAAGCAGGGGGAGCAACAGGCAGAGAGAGAAGCAGGCTCCCCACTGAGCAAGGAGCCCAATGCGGGACTCAATACCAGGACACCTGGGATGGTGACCTGAGCTAAAGGCAGATGCTTAACTGACTGAGCCACCAAGGTGTCCCTAATTATAGATTTTTCTTCTACCACATGCACCGTGAAACATTTAACAAGTACTTCTTTTAGACTATTCAAAAGATTAGAAAGGAAGAAAACTGTCTATTTACTGGTAGACAAGACCATTAAGATGCTATTATGTTGTAAAAGGGAAAGAGAAAGAAAACCAAAACCAAAACTAAACAAATGAAAGAAAACACAGAGAGACAGATACTACCTCCTACCTGTTAGGATGGCTACTATCAAAAACCCAGAAAATAATAGGTGTTGGCGAGGATGTAGAGAAATAGAAACCCTGTGCTCTGTTGGTGGGAATGTAAAATGGTGCAGCCACTGTGGAAAACAACATGGCAGTTCGTCAAAAAATTAAAAGTAGAATTACCATATGATTCACTAATTCCACTTCTATGTATATATCCAAAAGAGTTGAAGCAGGATTTTTTTAAATTAAAGTTTTTATTTTATTTTTAAATTTTTCATTCCAGTGTTGTTAACATGCAGTGTTATATTAGTTTCAGGTGTACCATGTAGTAATTCAATGCCTCTGTGCATTACTCAGTGCTTATCAATATATATATATATATATATATATATATATATAT